AAAATTTAGACAATCATGGTGGCATACACCTTTAGTCCCAGCACTCAGGAAGCAGAGGCAGGGGACTGATCGATCAAGGCCAGCCTGGTCAATAGAGCAAGTTTCAGGCCAGTTGGAGCTATATGAAGACCCTGTCTCAAAGATTAAAAAAAAAAAAAAAAAATTTAAGCCATTGAATTATAAAAAGGGGGAATGAATTAATAAGATTACATAAAAATGGGAAATATACCCATACATCAAAATATACTAAGCATATTAAAAAAAAATGATAAAGTTGGGAGTGGTGGCACACACCTTTGATCCCAGTACTCGGGAGGCAGAGGCAGGCAGATCTCTGTGAGTTCAAAGCCAGCCTGGTCTATATAGTGAGTTCCAGGCCAACTGGGGTTACATGGAGACCCCCCAAAAAGATAAGCATAAACTAGGAAAATACACATGCTGAATCTGAATGAAAAACAATGAAAACTTCAACAGAGGAAAAGGAAGATGGCATGGATATGGTACACAGATAGCCAGAAAATATATGGGAAAATGATCACGCTCTGCAGTAACAAAAAGCAAAATTTAACACTGAGATCAAATTTTATCTGTAACATCAATGGGCAAATGTGAGGAGACAAGTGTTGGTAAACTTAGTGGAGACATGCTCACTCTCACTATTAGTGAACATATTTTATAACACTTGAAATTTGGTTGTATCTTTTTTATAAATCTTTTTTCATATTTTGTTTATTATTTTTATTTTAAGTATATGAATGTATTGCTTGCATGTAGGCAGGTGCACTCATGTTATACAATGGCCACAGAGATCAAAAGAAGGTGTTAGAACGCCTGGAAGTGGAGATACAGACAGTTGTTAGCTATCATGTGGGTGCTGGGATTCAAAACTGGATCCTCTGCAAGAGCAGGCAGTGCTTTTAATCACTGAGCCATCTTTCCAGTCCTTGGCTATATTTTTAAAAAGTCTTTTCAACATTTGAAAACTCTAAGTAGGGACAGCTGGATGGCCCAATGAGTAAAAGTGCTTGCCACGAAGCCTGACAATCTGAGTCCAATCTCAAGGCCCCACATGGTAAAAGGAGATAACTAACTTCTGCAAGTTGTCCTCTGACTTCCATGTACGCCCTGAAATGTAGTTTTTTTTTTTTTTTTTTCGGTCTTTTTGAGACAGGGTCTCCCTGTAGCCCTAGCTGGCCTGGAACTCACAATGTAGACCAGGCTGGCCTCCAACTTACAGAGGTCTGCCTGCCTCTGTCTCCCAAGTGTTGGGATTAAAGGTGTGTACCACCACACCCAGCTGTAATAATTTTTTAAATTCTAAGTAGTCCCTTGTCTATAAATATAACTAAAGCAACAACCACATTATCCATTAGAATGATCATTACAATATGTTTTTAATGTCAAAAACATGAAAACCTTAAACGTCCATTAATGGAAATAATATATAGTACATTCAATGCTGGCAAGTTTTGACCTGCAAATTACACTCACCCCTACCACCTGTTTTTAGATGACTCCTAAGCAAAGAATCATTTTTACATTTTAAATGACAGAAATTAAAAGAACACACAAAATTAATGATGTGATAATTATATGACATTCAAACTTCGTGCTCATACATACAGGTTTTATTGGAACACAGCCAGAAACATTAGCTTACTGACTGCTGCTCTCTTGTTACAAGATACAGCTGAGTAAGTACAAGAGAGACAAGAAGATGGAAAGCCTCCACACTTATCAGCTAGCCCTTTATTGCTAGTATATTCATGTGACAGAATTCCAACTGCCCACAAAAGCCAGGATAAAACATTACTGTCTGCACATTACTGTCAACCTGGCAAGTATGGAGGGGTGGGTGAGGCAGGTAAATGTCATTTTTTACAAAACAGGAAGTACAATGTAGTTACCTGATAAGATACTTGCATCAAATAAAAATTTAGGAAAATTTTGGAGATGGAGACAAGGATCTAGAGCTATTGGGGACAAAACTTCTGCAAATAAATTTAAAGATATTATTGAGAAAGTTCTCAAAATGAGAAAGCATACAATGCCACATCAGACTACCCTCTTTAGCTCCTTGTTAGGTTTAAGACAAAAAAAAAAAACCAAAACCAAACCAAAAAAAAAAAAAAAAACACTGTCACCATAGGTTTAAAAAAGAAAAAAAAAAATCTAAGCAAAAGAAAGAAAAAAAATCCAGTGAACTTCAAATTTCATCACATCTAACTCCATACAAAGAACAAACCAAAAGCATACCACATCATCAATCAACCTCAAGGGGAAACTCTCCAAACCTTACTCTTCCCACAAAATCGTAAGCTCAAATATTTACACAAATAAGAGAAAATTCAAAACATCAATGCAAGAATATTTTCTAAGTTTCAAAACAAATCCTGAAATATTCTCACAGGTTTTCAATCACCATTCCTAGCTGTTTTCCAAAAGTATTAGGTAAATAATACATGTAAAAACATCACATTAGAATAATAGAAAGTCAAACGAAAGCAGTAGAGTCTCTCTGTGGAGCTTGTAGAATGTAAGTAAAACAGACACTCATAAGCAACTATAACATGAAACAGGCATAGCATAAGAAATGAAGTTCAAAAAGAACTAATAGCAATTATGAACCCAGAATGTATGTATTACAGAGGACTATAAACAAATACATATAGTTTTATGTTAAGACATTTAAACATCATTTCAATATCTTACTGATTTCAGGATTTCTGATCTCCTTTTTGATTGAAGAACATTAATCTGGGGGAAAACACACTTAGTTAATCATCCATGAACTACTTTAAACACTAATCTTTAATACAATATCGTAAAACCTGTTTATTCTAATGATTTAATGCTTTCCCTAAAATAAAATAAATATAATAAAGTTTGAGTTTTTCATTTTTAACCCTATTTTGGCTAAAAGAGTTAAGATATGCACACTAATGAAATACTCAAACACTTCTTAGCTCAATGAAAAACTGGTTCTTTAACATCATAACATTGTTGTGATAGAACTATTTCAATACTTGAACCTGTGTCAGGTTCATCTATTCCCAACCTCTTCATCCACACACACAGCAAGATTCAACATACAGCCTCAGTGTAGTTTTCATCATTTACCACTGTCATACCCTTTCTGGGGGGACCATGAACGGGTCTCTCCATTTCCCTTCTTGCCTTCTTACAATTCATTCTCCATACAGGTATGGGAAAGATCTTTTTCAAATATAAATGAGATCATATTACCTCTACTTTGAAACCCTGTAGCTTCCTACCACATCCACAAAGGCCCATTGTGATGAGGCCCCCACCACCCTCTCCAACCTAGTTTTCTATTTCTTGCCCCTTTCTATGCTACAGCCACCCCCTATAGCTGTCCTGTAGCCTTTGTACTGTTCTGTCTCCATGTCAGGAGGTTCTGCCCTCATGGCACATGACCATCATCACTAATCAGATCTTTACCTAAATACCATCTTCTCAGAAAAGTCTAACACAGCACTGGACACATTTTCTGGTGTAACAATCCTACTTATTTTACCAATAGCATTTATTGCTACTTTCTTATTAAGTTTTCCCAACCCAAAGTATAAGTTCCATGAGATCAGAGTCTTTGTTTTAGTTTCAGTCCTAGTCCCCACAGAGAACACAATATGCACTCTAGAAATATTTGCTAAAGTACTGGATCTAAATATTTTAATTATAATCAACTTACTGAATACCAGCAAAGTAAGAGATTTTCAGGGTCAGGGCTATAGCTCAGTTGGTACAGTGCTTGCCAAGCATGCATAAAGTCCTGAGTTCCATTCTCAGCACTGCCCAAACCAGGAATCATGGCACATGCTTATAATTCCAACATTGGGGAGGTAGGGGCAGGAGGATCAGGAGTTCAAGGTTATCCTTGGCTACAGAGTAAGGTCAGGAAAAAGAGATTTGCCTTTAACAGGATCTTTTGCAATTCTACTCTCATAAAAATTTTTTTACTATTATTATCAATTATTTAAATAAAATGTTGATCCAAAAGAGGCTCATTCACTCTTTGCTAAGATTATAGTGTCTTCCTCATTGAACTCTCTCCCAAATTCATAAGATAATTTTAAAGCAGTCTAAAAAAAAAAATAGACCAAGAAAATGCTAAATCTTACTTTCTTACTAAGCCTTAGTTTCTTCTGCCTCTCTGATGCATACCTTATTCAGTTTAGAGGAGCACATCAACATCCAAATACTCTTGACCAAGGCCACAAATAACCGACTATTTAAACTCTGAAAAGTGTTAGAAGTGTTTCTGTTTTAGATCCTGTTTTTTCCTATTTGGAAATTTTAATAATTCAAATTCATAACAAAGGGTCAATTCAAATACTTGAGAAGCTACAGTGCGACCAACTTTACACTTGTAGATGTGTGTTACTAGTCTCTAAAATAGCCATTTTGGCCATAAAATAAATCAATTTCTCATGAGTGAAATCAGACAAGCTAGTAGTTACAAGGATGTGGGCAAAGAAACTAATTTAGTACTGTTAGATGAACTTCAAAGGAAGCGCGTAACTTGTTACATAATAAATTATGTATTAGCTAAACCTCCTTACATAAAAAATTTATTACATTAAGTCAGTCTTTTTAAAATCTTTTTTAAATTTTATTTATTATTTTTATTTTATGTATATGTGTGTATTGCCTGCATGTATGTGAGTGCATCCATGTCATGCAATACCTGAGGAGGTCAGAAGAGGGCACTGGATCCCCTGGAACTGGAGTTATGGATAGTTGTTAGCCACCATGTGGGTGCTGGA